GGAGGAGGAGGAGGAGGAGGAGGAGGAGGAGGAGGAGGAAAGAAGAGGTGGAAGAAGAGGTGGAGGAGGAGGAGGAGGAGGAGGAGGAGGAGAGACCAGGGTGAAGCCAGTGGTGCCATGTTGGGCACCTCCCAGCCAGCCAGCTTGGTACAACCAGCACCCCCTCTGGCAGGAGAGAAAGTGGAAGATCACACCGCGGAGGGACGAGGCAGAGAAAGAATGGCAGCGCACTAGAGAAGCTGGGTGTACCTCTCTTAATCGCATCAGAGCCTCGTGGGCTACATTTAGCGATGGGATTCAGCCGGTTTGCACCGGTTCACAAGAACCGGTTGTTAACTTTCAGAGCAGTTTGGTGAACTGGTTGTTGGAAGAAATCATTAGGGCAGAGAACCGGTTCTTAAATTCTTTGAATCCCACCACTGGCTACATTTTGTCTCCAGTGCCCACTAAAACCCGCTCCTGTCTTGATTCACACTAGTGTAAGTGGTTAGAGGTCCCATTCTTCGAAGGGACACCTGGATTGCAACTCTGGACTTAAACCAGGCCCCTTGATAACCCATTAATCACCCCCCAGCACTGAGGACATCTCAACTTAAATTGTCCAAAGCCTGGTCTCTATCACCTTTAGGATCCAACAGCTATTCCCAAACCATCTCATCAGCAGAACCGTTGACTACTTCTGTTTTGAAGCAAGGTGAGCAACTCAAATCCCATGGAAAGCGATAACCACATATTTTTAAAGCCCAGGAGGACTGGTGCTCGGTCCCCTGTCAAAACCTCCTTGCCAGTCTGCTTGTTTGGATGCCATAGAGACTGTTCCTCTCTCTATCAGAGGTGTGTGTCTAATCCAGAGGTCTCCCAACTTGGCAACTTTAAGACTTGTGGACTTCGACTCCCAGAATTCTCCAGCCAGCATAAAATTCTGGGAGTTGAAATCCACAAGTCTTAAACTTGCCAAGTTGGGAGACCCCTGGTCTAATCTATCCTCCTTTAAGCCATGGTTTCTCAACCTTGGCAGCTTTAAGACACGTGGCTGGCTGGCAGGGAAGTTCTGAGAGTTGGACATTCTCACATCTTCAAGCTAGTACAATTGAGAAATGTTGCTCGAAGCCAAGTAGATGGGGAGAAAGAGAGTTGGGGGAGTTGAACTCCATCAACTATGATCTGGCTAGGAATTAAGGAGGAACTAAGATACATACTGCCCTCTGGATGGTGAGCGAGATGGTTCCTCCTTGCCAAGTATTCATTATTAGATCCAGAATGAGAAAGAAAGGAGGATTGCGATCACAGGAGGCAACCAGGAAAGATCTGAAGCTGGCAGAAGAGAGTGGATCTGGGACTCACCATTTAACTGGGAGGGTGACCCAGAATAGTCTCTGTGCCGGTAGCGTTTGTCACTCTTCAGGCTGTGACTCTGACGCCCAGAACCTTCCAGCATGTTGATAATCTCGCTACGGTCAATGTTGCGAAGGGCTGCGTAAAGGCTCTCCACTGGACAAAGGACGAGGAAGAAGGGGTTAAGAACGGGAAATTAGAGTTAGACCTAAAACCAAGTAGAGCCTCACCCAAACCATGGTAGAAACACCCACTCGAACAGAGTTTGATCTTTTACGGTCCTTTAATAGGAATGGTCACCTTCTTTCTCTAAAACGAAACGTTGACCTTGGTTTTGTTGATTAGAGAGATGTGGGAATGGCTAGTTACATATTCATGTGTAAAAGCAAAAAGTTGAGGTTGGAATGTGTTTATCTTGTACTGTTCTCTTCCTGTTCTGACCCAACCCTGTTACCAGCAAGAAAATCTCAAACAAACGCAGCAACTCAAACCTTCTCAGCTTTAATCTACAAATAACTTCTTTGTAGATAAAAGATGGCTTACAGCCAATTAGTCCAACCAGAAAAGCCTTGACAGAATTCGTCAGATAAGCCCGAGTCTCTACACACAATGCTGGGTCCTTAGAACGTTTTTGCTTTCTGCAAAAGGAAAAAAACCTTTTGAAACCAGGCTTATATTCCCTGGAGGGAGGGGCCATCACGTTGCATCCTTACTCCCAAGTCTCCTGTGCTGCTCCAGCTGTTCTCTTCTACGAATCATCCTGTGCTCATGCGCACTTGGCACAGGCTCCTCGGGAACCTCCTGGTCACTGCTGCCAGCCCCCACAATCCCTGAAGGCATCACTCCACTCCCTGATGGTCCCGGCCCCTCCTCAGAGTCCTTGCTCTCCTCCACCACCCACACCTGCCAGCTAACCATAACATCCCCCTTGTATCTTACACCCCCTTCCCCCCGCCCTTCCAGTTCCCTCCCTTAATTTCCTATTTTCTTTTCTTCTTTGTATTTTATATAATAAAATAAAAATGATAAATGTGAAAGGAATGGTCACCTTCTTTTGTGTCAACCGATAAATATATATATTTAATTCTTGCTTGGTAAAGTAATTCCATGAGATATGGGCGTGAAGAAAAAAGAATGCAAAGTAAGGGGACTCTTGATCTCACTTCTTATGATCCAGGTGTTTTACCATCTTCGATGGCCCTGAGCTTTGAACATCCGCCATTTTTTAATAAAAAATAAGGGAGAGAAGATACCCTTGGGCAAAGAAGGAAGTAAAATTGATTTAAAACCGGCAAAGGAGTACCTGCATTATTTTTTGATATGGCAGAGGGCCAATGGTAAGGTACTTTTTTGGTCGCTCATATTCATAAATGGGAGAAGAAAATAGGTGAGTGGAAACTTAAGGGAGGACCCACAACCAGGTGTGGGCTGCTACGGGTTCTCCCCGGTTCAAACAAACCAGTTATGGCCGGTTCAGTGAACCGGCAAATCCCACCCCTGGCTGGTCCCACCCACCCTGCCCCTCCCCTCCCAGGAGTCCCCACACGGCCCATTTTGGATGTCAGGTAAGTGCAGGGCCCACGAAGAGGTTTTTGGAGGGCGAAAAACAGGCCTTTCAGAGGTTCCAGAAGGCCGGAAACGGGCTCATTTCCAACCTCCGGAGGGCCTTCCAAAGTCCAGGGAGGCCATTTTTGCCTTCCTGGAGGCTCAAGGAAAGCCTCCAGCACCTGAGGAGGGCAAAAAATGGGCCAGAAGTTCCAGAAGGCTGGAAATGGGTCCATTTCTGGCCTCCAGAGGGCCTCCGGAGTTTGAGGAGGCTGTTTTTGCCCTCCCAGAAGCTCAAGGAAATCCTCCGGAGCCCGGGAAGGGTGAAAACGTCCCCCGACACAGTGTGGTGCAGGAGGCCAACTAGGCCACACCCACCATGGCCATGCCAGAGGCAGCAATGGGGCAGAGAGCCGGTGGCTAAAATTTTTGAAGCCCCCCTCTGCTCACAGCCGATATATCAATCTCCAACTCCGCCTTCTTAACTCAATTCCCATCACTTAAGAGATTTCCAAAATGGCAGGAAGATTTGAAACTAAAAGTCTGTAGAGATTCTCAGGCATCCAGGTCATGGTTGCCCCGAGGTGCTTTTTTCAGGAGGCAACTGGACTTTCTCGTTTTTGTTTTTTTTTCTTTGAAGACGTTTTGCTTCTCATCCAAGAAGCTTCTTCAGCTCTGACTGGATGGTGGGGAAGGGAAGGAAGTTGCCTCCTGAAAAAGCACCTTTGGGACAAGATTCTAAACTGCATTTTCTTACCTTCGTGTTGGAAACACCGAGTTGCTTCCAGATCGAAAAGCTTGGCGGGTGACATCACCATTGCCCAGGGGACACCTGATTGGGGCCCTCCTTTCATGTCCCCATTAAAAGGCACAATGAAGTGGTACCCATTTATCTACTCACAATGACTTGCTTTCAAACTGCTAGGTCAGCTGGAGCAAATGACGGGTGCTCACCCCGTCACACAGTAACACTCAGATCTCAAGCACGGACTTGCTGCTTGTCACCCCAGCATACTAACCACATGAGCCACCACACTCCTCCTCCGAAGTAGCATTAATTTGATATGAAAGTGCCAACAGCATGGGTGTCATGCCCCTGGTGGAGACTGACTCTGAGGAAGAGGAGGAACAGCCGACAGGGAGTGGGAGTGTGGCTCCGGAGGTTGTGAAGGAGGCTGGGGAAGGGCAGAGGCCGGCTGAGCAGTCAGAGGAGGACCCAGGCCCACCCCCTACCCATCCTAGGGCATGCAGGGAGGAGAGGATAAGGGAGAGACATGGTCTCCTCGGGAGGAGAGGGCCTTGATCCTCTTCATGGGCTGCAAGTGTGAGGACTGAATAAGAGTTTGGACCTGCGTACTGGCAAACGCTGGAAACAAAGCGTGTTTTATTTTGGTCTGAAGTTATCTTGGTTGGCGTCCTTCCAACAGACTGTGTCTTGTTATCTCCTTGAATTTGGTAAATACTTTTCCTGTTCCGTTGTGGAAATTTCGTCATTGTAGTTTGTTTGGTTTTTTTATTTCACCTCTATCTGCTCATTGAGTTCGGACTGTATTGCTTTCTTTTGAAGTCTATTTTTGAGTACGTTTGATCTCCAACTGAGTATTATTGAACAGTGGGGCTAAGTTGGAGGCATTAAAGGACATTTATTTACGTTTTGGATTTTGTTACGTTTGTGTTACACTCTGGGTCATCACATTGGGGCTCAGTGCACCCTTCCATTGTTGTATAGGATGTAACCCAAAGATTTTTCTTTTGATGACACGAGCTGATTTTTGAAAATCTCTCGAGAAAATCTAAAGCATCTCTCTGATATATGCAAAAGAGCCCTCATTTCCGACACTTATCATTGATACTCACTGTTGGCACTCTGGCCACCACGACTGGTCCAAAGATTTAAGAGGGCCATGCTCTGCTCCAGAAGGGAGTTGGGGTTCTCAACTCGGATTCTATTGATATCATCCACTCCGAATTGAAGTTCTCGAGCCAGCTCTGCAGGGAATTGGGGAGAATACTATATATGAGCCAGTTCAATCATCAGGTAAGAATGAAATGCAACTGGTTTTCATTGCTAAATATCTATGGAGCTTCTCAGTCATCCAGGTCATGGTTATCCCAAAGGTGCTTTTTCCTGCATTCTTCCCTCCCTCCCCTTTTTCTTTCCTTCCTTCCTTTCCTTCCTTCCATCCCTCCCTCCCTCAATGCAGCATTGCAGGATAACTCTGCCCACAGCCAGGAGTTTGATCCTCCTTCCATCCTTCTGAGGTCAGTAAAATGAGGACCCAGATTGTTGGGGGCAAGAGGCTGACTCTGTCAAACGCTTAGAGGGGGCTGTAATGGACTGTAAAGCGGTATATAAGTCTAAGGGCTATTGCTATTCTTCCTCCAAGGTCCAAACCTCAACAGCCAATTCAGTCTCAGGGTGAAGTGGTCAGGTTTGCCAACATTTCCCCACCTAACCTGTGCTCCACATCTGCCATTTCACATGGCCTTGGTTCTCCTCCTTGCCCCCAGTGATACTTACCAGCCCAACTGAGCCCCAAGTGTTCCGCAATGACCGCCAACTTCATGTTGGTCTTGTCTTTCTCTGTGCTGTTAAGGGATCCTGGAAGAAGAAGAACAAAGCCAACCTCAACCATCTCCATCTTCAGGTATTGCTGGAGTTATCCCAAAGATGCTGTTCAAAAGGCAACTGGGTTTTCTTGGGGTCCCCCCCCCCCCGAAAACATTTCACTTCTCATCCAAGAAGCTTCTTCAGTTTTCTATTGAAGGCATCATAATTAACATAATCCCCAACAAACCATACAGACTTCAGTAAGGATTAGTATCAGCCTTGGAGGCCATTTTTTACTTGGGAACTTTGAGGCTGCCACATTCAGAGCCTGGGAATTGGGAGGAGGGATTTCATAGTGAGGTAGGAGATTAGACAGAACAACACTCTTTCTCAGAGAGTCAAGGGCATGTTGCCCTGCACCTGGAGGAATGGAGGAATGTCTCCAGTTGGGATGAAGATTGGATTGGGACAGATATGATGGACTGATGGGTGCAGGGGATGGATCTTTGGATTCTCTTTTGGGAAGGATTCGGGTTTTCCCAGATGTGCCAATATGACAACTCTAATGAAATGCAAGTTTGAGGAAATGTATGTCTCAGAGTCTCTTAGTTTGGAGTTGGTTAGTTGGAATGCTGACATTCAGTGTAAATTAGCTTAGCTTTACATTCTCACAGTGTTTAGGAATTCCTACGTCCTTAATCGTCTATACAGCATTTTGAATATTGATTGTAAAATTGATTATAAATCTAGGGGTTTCTCCTGGATTTTAATTCCCGTACTTTGTAATTTTACATTTGTAATTTTATTTTTACCTGATTTTAGTCTTATCAATGTGATATTTTTTTTTAAAAAAAATTACCTCTACTTTAGAATGACTGTTACTAATTTTATGCTGGCCCATGACTGAAAAACAAGGAAACAATTCAAGCGTGGTTTTCATATTGTTCCTTGAATGGTGTGTGTGTGTGTGTGTGTGTGTGTGTGTGTGTGTGTACATTTTGCAAATATTTTCCTAAAAATAAATTTAAAAGCCTCTGAGCAGCCTATTTTTCGGAACAGATCCTTTCCCAAGAGGGCGTGGGCAGGAAAGATGCACAAGGCTATCTGCTTTTTTTTTCCTTAATGAAATCACCCGACTATTCCAACCAGGGGTGGGCTTCAACAAATTTAGCAACCGGTTCTCTGCCCGGTTGCTGGGTGGGTGTGGCCATGGTGGGCGTGGCCTAATCGGCCTCCTGCACCACGGAGGAGGGGCATTTTCGACCTCCCCTGGCTCCGGAGGCTCCCTGGAAGCCGGAAACAGGCCCATTTCTGGCCTTCCCAAACTTCTAGGAGGCCCATTTTTCGCCCTCCCTGAGGCTCTGCACAGGCCCTGCACTAACCTGGATCCAAAACAGGCCACATTCCTTCTTCTTCTTTTTTAACATGTAATAGTATGTGCCCGGTGTCTGATTCCATCTAAAACATCTACCTATTTATTGGCGTTACCCATCCTTGGAGGGACGTTGTGTCTTAGCCTAAGCTTTCCAGCTTACAAACCCTCAAACTTGCAACTTCATTTGACCCAGTTCAATGCTAAGAGTTTAGCGAAGAGAAACAGAGTTCTCGGCTCTGTCCAACTTGCATCGCTGGGGTCTCGTCTCCTGCTCAGAAACTTAACAACCGCTTGAATCCCACCACTTCCCCTTACCCAGAGTGCTGTCACTGAGAAGGCTGTATCTATCCCGCAGGGCCAGCGGCGTCAGTGTTCTCCTTCGCTCTTCACTGCCAGAAGTCTGGGAGAACAAGGAAAGGTTTGAGATGATTCAGCATCACAAGTGGGAGAGGAGCGCGCGCACACACACACACGCAACAAATAGTCAAAAACACAAGACCAGCAGTGGGATTCCAAATGTTTTCCCACCGGTTCTATGAGAGCGCGCTTCGCAGCAATGAAAACACGCGCGCAACAATGGAAAAACCGCACACTCTGTCAGCACTTGGTGGAGGTGAGCTGTTTTTTAGCTCAGCTGAGGCGCGGAAATCCACTCTGCCACGCGAATCAGTTGAGCTAAAAGACAAGGATAGGGCAAGATAGGGCGGGAGTGGGTGGACGGGGCCAGCCAGAGGTGGTATTGGCCAGTTCTCCAAACTAGTCAAAATTTCCACTACCGGTACACCAGAACCGGTCCGAACCGGCTGAATGCCACCTCTGTGAAAGATTCTCCCATTTCTGGCACCAGCCCAGGACATCTCACGGCCAAGGATCTGAGAACATTGATGTTGGGAGATATCCATGGCATTCCTTTGCTTCCTTGTTCCATGAGCTTGCTTGTTGAGGAATGCTGGTGTTCAGAGCAAGCATTAGGTAGTGATCTGGAACAGGTCTGACCAAAGCCTACCATTCTTAGAAGGAATGGTCCAGAGATCTCTGGAATGTTCCAATCCTTCTCTGAGCCACCTCAATCCTATTCAATAGGAGAAAGGGAATATCTCTCTCTCTCTCTCTCTCCTAGAAGTTAAATCTCCCAAAATAAAACGGGTTCATGGTGTTCCAGATATGGTCCTTCAGAGGCCTGTTTTGCGTACAAACCATGTCCACAATACCACAAACTGTTCAAAAACATGATTCCCTGGTAAACAGCTGGATTGCCCTCAGAACCACTGAATGATTGTGAGCTAGAGGAATGGGAATATTCTGGAATTCTCTAGCACTGTCTTACAAGAATAAGTTCTCCCCATACCTTGCCACAAATAACAATTAAATGTTACACTCTTTTAATGTTTTTCTTTGCAGATGTTTCATTTCCAAACATCATTGGTGCTGATAACGTTACCGAGTTTAGTAATGAAATGTCTACAAGAAAGCCCCCAAGCTGTGAGAGCACTAAGGGCCCCACAATTCAGCCCTGAGCTATAAAGGAGGCTGTAGGTTCGATCCTAGGTAGAGGCAGATATTTCTCTCTCTGGGCACAATGAGAATATATCTGCTGAACAAAACTCCGCATTGGCAACAGGCAAAGCATCCGGCCATTAAAACACTCCGCTAGCTCCATTCAACTGCCCAGACTCTACCCCGCAAGGGATTATGGGGTCATTAAAAGATGATGATGATGGAGATGGTGATGATGATCAATACTAATAGATAAACCCTGGGGGAATATAGAGTGTGGTTACCCTGAACCTCTTTCTTCTTCCCTCATCCCTCATCCACCTTGGGACTGTGCAGTATTTTGGGCTTCTGTCTGGAACGCGCTGCCTCCTCCCTGGGAAATTACCCATTCCTTCTCCAGGTTCATATTCCATTCCATTACTCCTCCTCCTCCTCAAAATCATGCTCCTTTCCGTGTTTTCAAGGGAGCTAGGCAGTGGAGGGAGGGACAAATGCACCATTGTTGACCTGTCATCAGAATCTGACATCTGTAGATCTATCTACAGCATTTGGGTGTGTTGCAGGGAATTGCATCTTTGCAAACTTACAAGGGGATTGAACCCCAAGGCTGTTCCTAAGCCTGCTCTGCAGCAAGCCCAAAGGAGTAGGAAGCGATGCAAAAGCAACGGAATACGGGCAGGGTGGGACACAAGAAGGTGGAATTACTCACCTTGGAACAGGGTGGCATTGTGACATTCAGATGGCACAGCACGTGCTGAAGCTCTTCATACTTCATGGGCTTGCGAAGGAAAGACAAAGAGCCACTGGCTTCCCGGCTACTGTCCCTCACCTACATTTCAGAAGAGCAGAGGGAACCAATGAAAGTTCTTCAAGAAGCCAATCCAAGTATCACCCGTATTCCACAATCCTCCTTTGCCTTTGCTCTCAGGCCCATCTTTCTCATTTTACTTTCCTTTCTGCTTGTCCCAAAGGTGCTTTTTTTTTTCCCCTCCCAAGAGACAGCTGGACTTCCTTGGTTTTTCTTTGAAGACATTTCCCTTCTCATCCAAGAAGCTTCTTCAGCTCTGCGTCGCTAAATGTCTATAGAGATTCTCGGTTTGTCCGTGTCACATTTGTCCCAAAGGTGCTTCGGCAAGAGGCAACCTGGACTTTCTCATTTTTCTTCGGATGAGCTTCTTGGATGACAAGCAACACAGCTTATTTGGGAGGTAGGGCTTATATTAGGCACAAGTGTTTAAAAAAAACAGGCTGGGGCTTATTTTGGGGGTAGGTCATATTTTTGGGAGGGGAAAAACACAGCAGTTATCATCTTCTCTTCAGCTGTCTTTCCTAGAGACTAAATCTCCTTCGGTCTCCCCTTATAGGACACAGGTTTCGGTCTCCTGCTCATCCTAACTGCACTTCCTTGATCCTTTAATCCAGGGGTCCCCAACCACCGGTCCACAAATCCTACCGGGCCGCTGGTTTGCTGGGCGCCGCCATCTTGTTTTGATGAAAAAGTGCTTTCGGTGAGCTTTTCCGGGTAGAAAGCTCACCGGAAGCACTTTTTCATCAAAACAAGATGGCGGCGCCCAGCTGATGCCGGTACCGGGCCGCGGCATAAAAAAGGTTGGGGACCACTGCTTTAATCCTTTTGCAACCTTGTTCCTGGCCCTGATTTTAGCTTCAAACAGCTGCTGAACACCAAGGTTAAAGTAACAGTATGACCTCTTCCCTCCCCTGGCCATGGACAAGGAAACTTTTCCAACTGTAGTGAGAGTTAATTGTTCTCTTCCTGACAGCGAGAACAATTCCCCACTGGAACAGCTTGTCTCCAGAAGTTCTAGGTGCTCCAAAACTGGACAGCCATTTGTCTGGAATGGCATAGGATCTCCTGCTTGAGCAAGGGATTGGACTAGAACAGGGGTCCCCAACCACCGGGCCCCGGACCGGTACTGGTCCGTGGATCAATTTGTACCAGGCTGCCTATTTTACTTGGGCGCTGCCATCTTGTTTCGACGGCGCTTGAGAAAGTGCTTCTGGGTGAGCTTGTCGGTCGTCGGTTGGAAAGCGGCGTTTGGGTGCTTAGTTTCGTCGAAGGAGGGGGGCGGCTTCGAACCAAGAGCCGTCCCCATGGCGGTGGAGTCTCGCGTTATTCAGGAGGAGATTAAGAAAGAGCCCAAAAAGCCCATCGACCGCGAGAAGGTACAAAGGAGGAGTTGAAGGTGGCGGGGAGAAGCGGGGGATGGCCGGCTGGCCGGTCGCTCAGCTCAGCTTGCCTTGGTCGTGCGTGCTGATGCCGGTACCGGTCCGTGGATCATTTTGTACATTTTGTACCGGGCCGTGGTACAGAAAAGGTCGGGGGCCACTGGACTAGAAGACCTCCAAGGTCCCTCGCAACTCTCTTATTCTGTTATGACCTTGATGGAGATTTACAGGTGCTGATGCTTAAACCAAGAGGGCCAAAGCATTGTTAAAGTCCAGAATATTCAGATCTTTGAAAATGTCTCAAACAGAGGCCTCCCTAATTCATTGAAGTATGAGAAGGGGGTGCCAGACATTTGTCTGAAATGGTATAAGCTTGAGCAGGACGTTGCTCTAGAACAGGGATCTCCAACCTTGGCTACTTTAAGACTTGTGGACTTCAACTCCCAGAATTCCTCAGCCAGCTTTGCTCTCTGAACTCTGGGAGTCGAAGTCCACAAGTCTTTTTTTTTTTTAAACAACAAACACAGACAAACACAAACATAAAACATGTAAAACCTTTCTATTATACAGTGCGTCGGTTGGTACATATTTCTTGTGCACAAAATCTAGTCTTTTCTTCTTAAAGTTAAGTTTACATTCATGTTGCATTAGTCAGCTTTCCATGTCATATTACATTATTATTACATCATTATTAGACTTTAATTTCAAATCTGCATTATCCTTTAGAGCAACTCTCAATTCTTACTAATTTTAATTCATGTTATAATTCATTCTGTAATCATCAATTATAACATATCATTGCTATTGTATTATACTTCAACTTCCTACTTTTCTATCTAGCCATTGATAAAATAAATCCCATACCTTAAAATATTCTCCTAATTGCTAATGTTAATTGACTCATTTCTGCACATTCCACTATTTTCTTAATCACCTCCTCCTCGTTTTTCCAATTTCCAAGTCCACCAGTCTTAAAGTGGTCAAGGTTGGAGCCCCCTACTCTGGAAGTGTGCCAAAGTTCCTCCCAATTCTGTTATTCTGTTCTGTTATTCTGAAGTGACTCAAGCTTAGCTTTTCTTTCTGAAATGTCTACTTACAACAAGTAACTGCTTGGTGGAGGCCCAACCAAGCCAAGATAACTTCTCTTCCTGAGCTTTGAAAAAAACTCAAGGAGATGGTTATAGACTCTGCTGTCATTCTTACTTGGGAAGAGAGCCATCAAGAACAACCAGAGACAACCCCAGGTTTCCAAAACTTTTGCTGATTACCTTAACTGGGATGATGAGGCGGTTCTCATGGAATGACTGGAACAAGAAGCTCCGTTGCTGGGCAGCCTTCTTGATTGGCAGCAGGTTCCCAGAAAGCTCCATGTGGAGTGGCATGCCCTCGGCCACCTGCGAAAGATCACTGTAAGATTCTCCAGGCGATCATCAGCCACCCAGAGTTAGTTTGGAGTTGGGTGGCACCAAAATCAAATCAAGTCAAATCAAACCCAACCAAATAAAAATAAATAAATGACTATTACAGAAAATTCTAATTGTAATTCTCCTACAGTGGGTGGGAAAAATATCTGGAAAGCAACCACGGTGGCAGGCAGGGCGAGGGGGCATTAAACCTTGGAGTGATTAGCAACCAGTAAGTGTCCCAGTGGCAGGCCCAAGAAATCAGGAGCCAAGATAGGGTTCAAAAGTAGAGACCTTAAAAATGTCTAGGTCTATATCACAAGTCCTAAAATGCACACCTAACATCAAAAACATCGTCAAAAAAAAGCACGACAAATAAGGTTCTTTCCGCACCAACTCAGGAAGCTCAAACTGACCAAGGAGCTGCTGATCCAGTTCTACAGAGGAATGATTGAGTCTGTCATCTGCACCTCTATAACTGTCTGGTTTGGTTCTGCAACCCAACAGGACAGACACAGACTCCAGAGGATAATTAGGACTGCAGAAAAAAACAATGACTGCCAATCTGCATACTGCATGAGTCAAAAAGAGGGCTGTGAAAATATCTATTTCCTGGACATCAATTGTTTCAACTTCTACCCTCGAAATGATGCTATAGAGCACTGCACACCAGAACAACTAGACCACAAGGACAGTTTTTTCCCGAGCACCATCACTCTACACTGTCCAACTATTTACAAAGTCTGCACTACTATTACTAATAATCTTCTCAGCACTTCTTATCACCCATCCCCTCCCATTTGTGACTGTATAACTGTAACTTTGTCACTTGCATCCTTATGATTTATATTGACTGTTTCCTAGTATGATTTGATTGGTTATTGTACCCTATGACTATCATTAAGTGTTGTGATGATTCTTGACTCTTGACTGATTCTTGACTCTTGACGAATGTCTCTTTTCTTTTATGTACACCAAGAGCATTTGCACCAAAGACAAATTTCTTGTGTGTCCAATCACACTAGATAAAGAATTCTATTCTATTCTATTTCACATATATTCTATTCTATTCTATTCTATTCTATTCTATTCTATTCTATTCTATTCTATTCTATTCTATTCTATTC